CAGGACTTGATATAATGGAAATGTATAACAAAACTGAAAAAGAACTTACTGAATATTGGAATACATTACAAAACACATGGTTAACTTTATATGGGTTGGAAATACCAATAGCTGCTGCTATTAATGTATTATTTTTAATACTAGCAAAATAATTAACATGATCATATAATTTAATATACATCATTATCTTTCAAAAATATATAATGTAATTTTTCTTATAAAAAAGGGTGCAAGTCCTGCTGGAGGATGTTTATTAGCTCTTTCATGTGAATATAGAGTTTTAGTTCAAGGAAACTATACCATGGGTTTAAATGAAACACAATTAGGAATTACTGCCCCAGAGTGGTTTAGAAATCTTTACATTGAAACAATAGGATACAGAAGAGCTGAGATAGCACTTTTACAGTAATATTATGTAACAAATTTATAATAAAATATGTATCTTACTAATAATTTCTGTAATAAACTAAAAAATATTAATTTAGAGGAACTCTATTTCATCCAAAAGAAGCATTAGAGATTGGACTTGTAGATGAATTAACTTCTGATAAATCAAATGCAATAAAAAAATGCCAAGATTATATTAAAAGTTTCAAAAACATATCTAGTAAGTATATATATATATACACACATATATTTTTATTAATTAAGGAACAAGAATATTAAATAATTAAAATATTTATGAAGCCAAAGGTAGACAAAGAACAAAAATGGAATTAAGAAAGCATAATTTATTATGGTTGAAAGTAAACAGAAGTGCAGATCTTAATGAATTTTTAACATTTGTTCAGTTACCAGACGTACAAGCTGGATTAAAATTATATATTCAAACTTTGAAGAAAAAGTAAGAAACCTTAATTTAAATATTGTTTTTTCTAACTGATACATTAAAAATTTTATATTTTTATATGGCTTTTATATAATGTATTTCATATAAAGGTATATTAATATATTGGTATTATATAACACAATAAATATGTATAATTCAATAAAAATACTTACTCTTATATTGATTTCCAACATGACATTGACAAATCCTTTATCAAATTTTACGTATCAAGTGCTAATATAATTTCTGAATCATTAACATTTGGATTTAATTGTTGTAACAGTTGCAAAAGCTCTTGTTGTTGAGAATCAGCAAAATGTGATATTTCTAATATTTGTTGACTATTTCTTTCACTCTCATATCTATCAAAGTAAAACAAGATTGCTGTAAGCTCAAAAAAATGTATAAAAAGAAGAAAGACTTACTTTCTTATTTGTTCTATATATTCTTCGAGCCAAGTTTTTAATCGAGTTAACATAATATCCTCTCGAGCATCAATTACCTATAATTATAAAACTTAATATTTTAATTTTTAAAATACATTATTTTAATTTTCAAAAATTAAAATATATATGAATACATGTACTTGTAAATGTTTTTCATGAGAATTATTAAGATTGTAATTTAACATGTCTTTATCTTCACATAAATTCAATAAATGACGTGGTATTTTTGTATCATTCCCAAAACCACTAAGATAGTACAAAATTAATCCATTAATAGTGTCATTATACTCTGCTTCACAATTACGTAATTGTGAAAAATATCCTCGTGCAATTGTTAGAAAAGAATCCACCATATCAGAGATATTAATTCTAAATACTTCATTTATATCCTTTATTAAATAAGTTATTCCTTAATAATATTTTCAGTTAATTTTTCCATGCATAATTTACTTTAATTAAAATATACCTCTATTTGTTCATGTAGATCTACTTCAATGGACATCAATCTTGTCCATGCATCAGTTACTATATCATTAAATTCTTCAGAAAGTTGTTGTGCTTTTTGAGTTATATCTTCTAATGTAGCAGTGTCTACATCTCCAACTAATTTTTTTAATAATTGTTTAACATTAGCTAAAATGTTAGTTTTCTTTTGCAGAATTTCATTTACAATTCTGTAATTTGAAATAAAAATTATTACTAATGTTCTATACTATATAGTTTACATTCATTACCACATTTAACTCACATTCTGCCTAGATTTTGTGAACTACCTTTACCCTCATTTACAGCATTATCAAATGTATTTATTTCATTTATACGTTTATCATGTTCTTTTAAACCTATTTCACAAATTTCTTTACATATAGTAGAAAAATTTATTTTATATTCTTCATAAGCATTTTGTGTGTCTTCATTTACCATAGATAGATCTATTCCCTCTAAACATAATAAACAATAAACAGAATACAGAAAATATATTACGTGAATTTTTATGTATTACTAGATAAAAATAAATAATTGTTATATATATAAATAAGTTTATAAACCTTTATCATTTTCAAACATTTGAAAAAAGAGATGATATCCATCAAGATGTTCTACATATGCAGTAGTAAGAAAAGCTAATTGTGTGTCATATTCTTGTTGTGCATATAATTCTTTTTCTTCTTTTATTTCTGCTTCTTCTAAAATACTTAAGGTCCTACTAAATTATGAAATATACATTTGGACAGAAAATGTTTCTCTAAGACTTTAATAATGATCTCAGTAATTTAATATTGATTTATATTACATATAAATTATAAAGATTTTATAATTACTAATGTTTTTCTAAGGCATCTTTTCTTTGTTCTTTTGGTATCATTTTGTATTCATAATAAATTAATTGTGGTATAAATGCAAATACATAATCTAAATATCCTTCTTCTTTAGTACATGGATTTCCACTCATGTTCAAACTATGTAACTTTTTAAATTTTCTTAAATACAGTACCTAAAGAATAATACAAATATATTAAAATACAAATGTATTAAGTTTCTATATATAATATTTTATGTATTACATACATGTTTCCAACTTGTTATAATATTATTACCAATACTAAAAATTGTAAGATTGTACAAATTATTTATACTCTCCACCTCACTAATTTCATTATTAAACAGAAGCAATATTTCTAATTTTGTTAAATTATTCAAGTTTTCTATTATTTTAATATGATTAAAAGAAAGATCTAATTCTTTTAAATGAACGAGAACATCTAGGTTTTCTATTTTTTCAATTATGTTATTGGATATTTTTAATTTTGTTAGATTTGGCATTACCCATAGATAATCAATTTTTAAAATATCTAAAAGAAAAGATAAAAACAAGTATTTGTAACAACGTAAACGTAAAAAAAAGCTTTTTATGTAATACATACTAAGGAATTCAATTCGAATTTCTTTTGTTTCATTCAATTCAATACCATCTTCGTAAAAGAGTTTACCCGCTATTTCTTTCGGTCCTTGTTCAGTTACTAAATTTAATAACATGTCTTGATTTATTACACGAGGTTGTATAAATTCTTGTAATATGGTCGGAACGTCGTCCTGAACCATCATTTTTTTATAAATATTAAATAAAATTAAATCAATAGCAATATCAAATTATACTGTTTTATATTAAAAAATGTCATTCATATAGCTTTCATTTGGTTGCCGCGCAACGAAAATTTATTAATTTCTGATTTACAGCGCTCTCTAGTATTCATTGAGATAATTATGCAAATTTAAATATTGATCCAGAATAAAAAGAGTCTAGAAATGATATATTCTATGTTCAAGTTGTAAAGCTAATTACTCACTATTGATAATTAAAAATTAAATTGTTTTTTGATCACAATATTATGAATAAAAAAATTAAAACAAATTTTTGTATAACATAATTCGTATTTATAAATTTATTTAGTTATTATTAAATTGTAAAAGAAAGCGCTAAATGGACAGAAATTAAAAAAAAATTTGAATTATATTTTCATTTTTCCTAATATGTAGAATAGACAAGTATTTAATTTCTTTTATATCTAAAAAAATTTATTAATGAATTTGTTTTAAAATAGAATTTTTAATTATACGTAAAATAAATGAATTTGCTCTAAACGTTACATCCAATCAGAATAGTACTCTCTGAATGTTGTATCTGATTGGGTAGAGTTTCATGTCACTTTGTATTTGACGTCTGCCTTTGTCGTCGTGTGGGTCATATGATACTGTCATTCAGTGTAAGGAGTTTTTACTTTATTATTAAATATTGTTCCTGTCAAAATTTCTTACGTGCCTTACATATGCACAAGTGAATCAAAGTAATTTTATTGAATATAAAAGCAGTTTCATATATCGTGCAACAATGTCATTTTTTGGAGTAAATGTCAATCCATTCTCAACACCAGTAGGTCAAAAAATAGGTAAGTTTCTTATTTACCTTTGCGAAATACATCATAGCAATTGATTTATTAATATGTTTATAATCAATTAATAATTTATTTCCATATGAATAATTGTTTGTATGTCAATATTAATAAACACTTAAATAGTTATAGATTTCTTTTCATGTATATATGTCTTCATACATTTATGTCATGAATCATGACTTTTCTAATACCTTTTATTAAAGGAAATCTACAATTAATAAAATATAACATCTTTATCTATATATTCCAGAGCAAGCTACAGATGGTAGTTTGCCAAGTGAAAATTGGACACTTAATATGGAAATATGTGATATTATAAACGATACTGAGGATGGGCCAAGAGATGCAATTAAAGCAATTAAGCGTAGACTCAATCAGGCTGCTGGAAAAAATTATGCTATAGTCATGTATACCCTTACTGTTAGTACCTATCTGCTTGGTAATATTTATATTTTAGACAAAATATATGTAATTTGTTAAAATTACTTTGTACAATTAAATAATGATACAAGGTATTTATTCCTTAATTTAATTCATTTTCCAAAGTACTTTATTTTTTAATAATTATTTGATTTAGGTTTTAAACATAATTTAAGTAATTAAGCTGACTATAGCATTTTTACTAAAACTTATCTATTCCTATTAAATATTTATGAACATTAAAATTTATATATGTAATCAACTAGGTATTAGAGACATGTGTAAAAAATTGTGGAAAACGTTTTCACGCTCTTGCTTGTTCACGAGAATTTGTGCAAGAATTGGTCAAATTAATTGGACCGAAAAATGAACCACCAACAGCAGTGCAAGAAAAAGTTTTAAATTTAATTCAAACATGGGCAGATACATTCCGCCATCAACCACATACTCAAGGAGTTGTTCAAATATATCAAGAATTGAAAGTAAAAGGCATACAATTTCCAATGACAGATTTAGATGCCATGGCACCCATTATTACTCCAGAAAGAGTAAGACTTATTGTAATAGAGAATTAATAAAATATTGTCTTATATATTTTTTTTTATTACTTATGTAATTTCAGAGTGTACCTGAATCAGAACAAAATGTGACTGTGCCTACTGTTGAACAACATACAGTAACTCCTGTAACTCCACAAGTTCAACAACCTCAAAGTCAATCTTCTGGACAAGTAACTCTATTAAATGAACAGCAAATTGCTAAATTACAGAGTGAACTTGATGTTGTACAAGGAAATATGCGTGTTTTATCAGAAATGTTGGCATACTTTACAAGCTCAGATCAAAATAGTAGTCAACAACCTGATACTGCAGACCTTGAACTTTTAACTGTATGAATATAATTATTTATGTTATATAAACAGTAGTAAATACCTAATAGTAAATATTCATTAAAATAAATTTTTATTTTATTTAATAATCTAGTATCTTACACATAATATTAAATAAGTACTTCATATATAAAATAATTTGGAATAATTAAAATTTTCATCATGATTTTATTTTTTGTAGGAACTTCATTCTACATGCAAAGCAATGCAAGAACGGGTTGTTGACTTAATTGGAAAACTAGCACATGATGAAATGACAGCAGAATTGTTGCGTATTAATGATGAATTGAATAATTTATTTTTACGTTATTCTCGATATACGAAAAATAAGGCTGTTGCTGCAAGTACTATTTTAGCACAAACAATTGGTCATCCACAAAACATAGACGCTGCTTCTTCACTTAATAAACAAGAAGCTGATTCTCTTATTGACTTATCTGATGAAACTGATACTTTGGAGAAGAAGATAACAGAAATTGGTAAGAATTATGCCTTTAATAAATAAAAAGTGTATGCAAATTTTTTATATTAAATTACAGATATAGCCGATAATGTTGATAAAAGTAGGATAGATAAAAAGGAAAAGAAAGAAGGAGATAGTGATGAATTTGATATGTTTGCACAGTCACGGAATACATCTTATGAAACTACGAAGAATAGGTTTATAATATTAAATTAATCTTACTTTTTTGTAATGATTATACACTATATGAGTATACGTTTATTTTAATTATAGTGGTAGCAAATATGAAGATAATTTGGAGCAGGTGAGCGGAGGAAGCCTCAGTACAGCGATTCTCAACCGCAATAATCCTAAGTATCCCCAGCAGACTGCTTCTACAGTTGCTTCTACTACTGCTACTTCTGTGCGTAATCCTTGTCCCTACTATACTAATTATTGCTAAGCACTTAGTTAACTATTAATAATTTAAGTATTGACAACAGAAGAAAGTAAAGTTATTACATATACTAAAATATTTTTCACAAATTTTATTACACGTTATTGTTGCAAAATTATATTTTTATAAACAATTTAGTTGCGAATTTATACATTGAGCTTAAAATTACCTACTCTAATAAAGGTAAGAATACCATATTTATTAAATTTTGAGGTATCAAAACATATTCTTATACATTTAATGGATTTATTATAATTAGAAGTTGCTTTCCTTCACTGCATAGCTTTTTATAGCATGAAATACTTAATTTCCTCTTATGTTTTCTTATGCTTTAATTTTGCCTACATATATGCGTATGTTTATATATTTATTATTTTGTTTGATATGTTTATTTTTATTTTTTATTTGTCCTTTTAACATTCAGCTGAACCGGGAATCTGAATTTAATGAAATGGCAGCCTGGTTAGATCATACGGTGAGTTGTACACAATACCGTGATTAAAAATGACATAATCATTTGACATGATAGCAGATTTTTTAAAAATGTTTAACTCAATAAATGTCTGTTAATTATGTCTCATAATTATTAAAATAAATTTTTACTTCTTTTTTCAGCCAGGAGCACATGGTGATCAAGAATCTTTAACATCTTCCGAATTTGAACGTTTCTTGGCAGAACGAGCAGCTGCGGCAGAAGCTTTACCAACTCTACCCACAACTATTACTAATACTGGAAGTACTACAAATTCTGAAAATATTCAGCGTCAAATTAACAAAGATCAAGATAAATCTTTATTTGCTCTTTAAACGTAATTTTTACATACTTATTTTAGAAAACTGATGGAAATTAAATTTGTTCTAATTCGATCATCAAATACACTTTCTAATAAATCAATGCTTCTAATAATAATTCTAATATTAGAACCATTGATAAAATAAATTAAAAAAAAAAACAACATAGGGAAAAGAATAAAGAAAATAAAAATGCTTTGCGCTTATATGTACTTAAGAATATAATTGATATTAAATGATCGTAAATTAGCATTTTATTACGTTGTAAAAATTTAATAACGATGAATAACTTATTTTAAAATAATCGTTACGCGTAATTATTATGTAATACAAAAATAGGAATACTAACTTATATTATTTGTATATAAAAAGCACATTGAATGCAAAACAATATTCATATTACAATGTGTGGTCTCATGCCTTGGAACTATATAAGAATTATTAATTTATGCAGTTGCATTTTTGAAATTTGCAGATTTAAGTGCAAAGGAATGAATATTTCATTATGTAATTGACTTTATTAAGCTATAGATGGAAGTATTTTTCTATGTTAAATTTGTGTCTTCATTACTTGATATTCTGTATAAACATGATATATTCATTATTGTAGTAATTTTGATTTTTATAAAGTATTATTATTGTAGAGTAATATAAATTTATTGATAGTCTTGTTATAATTATGTACTGCTATTACAAATAATTAATATATTCTAAAATTATATTATAGGAATGTCATTGGTAACAAGGAACGTTATATAAATTTTGTTTGTGAGTTTTAAATTATAATTTTATTTTACAAAAAGCACATATGTTAAGTACTATGACAAGAATCAAGATTCTTTCATACAATTTTAAAGATGTGATAAATCATTACAAAACTATATTTAAATATTTAATTTTATAAAATTATTGTGTATTGTATCCTTCTACCAATGAATATTTTATTTTAATATCAAATAGTAAAATATTTTTACTAAAAATATATTACTTTTGACAAATAGTGAAAGTCAACATAGCACTAAACATTAATTCTTTTATTTTAGGATAGATAAAATACTTTAAAATATTTCAAATATTAAAAGTATTTCAAATAAATGTGCAAAACAAGATAAAAAAGAACTAAATTTGGTTATTTGTATAAATTATATTTAATAATTCTTAACCATGAATATTTGTAATCAATTTCTATGTGCGTAATAACATATAAAACTATTCTTATGTTTTATGTGATTATTGCAATTAATATCGAATATTGTGAAAACATTTAATTTTCTCATCAATTTCTTTATGCTTTTAAAATTATATATAATTTTTTCGTTTTGTAATAAATTTTTCTAATGTTCCAATATATTGATTATTCTATTGACAAATTCCAATCCTTATACCATCAAAGTAATATAAAATTACAATACGTAATAATTTCAGAGACAATCATATGAAATGTGTTATGCTACTATTTATTTATTTCTTAATATCTTCTATAATATAATTTTATAAATTAATATTT